TTCTCTCCAAGCTTGATTTGTCCAACACACAACAAACTATAAAACAAATTAGCCCCTAATAATAAATCTACCGGCTGAGGTTTATTAAACCCAGGATCTGCCAATTGTAAATTTTTCGGGATATTTAAGTGGGAAATAGAAAGCTTTTGACCAGGAGTTTGTCCACTAATTGTTGATACTATGAGACACGCAACGGTTCCTTCATATTTTTTATAATTTGACTGCACGTCCACCATACAGCGTTCAACGATTCTAGAAGGACTATTACCTACACCTATAATCGACACATCTACCTTCTGCCTAAGTATCCCTAACCTTTCCACTAATTGCGCTGTTATTAAATTTGGTTGCGACCCACTATCCAACAGGGCTCTACAACTCTGCCAATTTCCAGCACCATCTTTAACTTGTACCCAAGCTGTGGACAATAAAACCTCCCCAGCTACTTCTTCGCCATTCTCCAAAAAAAGTGATTTAACCTGAAAAGTATTACTTGGTGACCCACCATCCTCCATTAATCCACCATTGTCTCGGACACTTCCATCTATTCCATCAGAAACTGCAACTAACACCTTACCTTCCTGTCGTGGTTCATAATGCAGTAAGCGGTGATGTTACCTTCCACATTTTTCACATCCAGGGGCTGGACATGAAGAACTCATATGGGTTGTGTCTTTTAAACAATTTAAACACAAACCAATTTTTTTTGCAAATTCATATCTACTGTAGGTTCTCAATTTTAAAAATTTGTGACAATCAAAAATGTCATGCTTATTTTTACAAAAAACACATAACAGACTTGACTGTTGATACAAAACTTTTATGAAACCTATTACCTTTAAAATCTTTTTTTGTTTCAGATTTAACTTCTGTTTTCCTTTTGCGCTCTATATTTTTCAAATTATCTACTCTTTTAGCCAAAAATTCTTTAAACTGCTCAAAAGTTGCCAATTCACCCTTGGGCCTTTGTTCTTCCCACTTTAAAAATGAATTTTGATCCAACTTTTTGACCATTAAATGAATCAAGAAAGGATCCCAAGAGTTAACTGACAATCCCAATTTTTCCAAATGATATAACACCTCTGTTAGAGTATCAGACATATTTTGCAAATCACTAGCCGATTCTTTATGTACATTCGGCAGATTTAATAAATTATCCAAATGGTACTCAACTAACATTGGCAAATCATCGTATCTGTCACATAACAGCTGCCAAACCATTTCATAATTTTCAGCTGTCATTTTTCGTGACTGGACCAATTTTAATGCTTCACCCTGTACCGCTTTTTTCAGAAAATGAAACTTTTCGACGTTTGAAATATTTGTATTACAATGAACCAGTGATTCAAACATATCTTTAAATTCTAACCAATTTTCGACCTTTCCTGAAAAATTTGGTATAGGGATGGCAGGTAATTGAGGCCTAGATTGTGGTACCACCACCAAAGAGCCTGTTGACTCATTAATACTTTGACTATCCCCATTATCTTCTTCATATTTTCCTTCAAACTTTTTTCCGAACTCAGCAAGAAACAATTTGCCCTTGGTCATAGCACGAAAAAAGTCATTTTCAAATTTTTCACCCTCTTCTATCGCGGCCTCATATTGCGCATCATCAATACTCTCAACTATAATATCATTATTAATCTCCTCAAACTCTCCCAAAACATTGTTCATTCTATCAATTCGTGCACTTAATTCAACGTACAACGCTTCTGTTACATTTTCTTTTATTTCAAAATTATCCAAAAATTTATTAAAACTAGTTAATTTACCTTTAATGTTACCCCTTTTTCTAGTTAACATTTTAATATCTTCCCCCATTTTAGATATACTTGTTTAATAACAAAAAATTAACTTACAATAGGTACTACGTTATAATGCAAGTAAATTCAACACAGGGAAGAGATAAAGGAAAGAACAAATACTAGGAAAGAGCGACTCACCCAACTGCAGTGTTTTCCCACCTTGCTTCTATTAAATTCCAGCTCGAAACATGGGTTACTTGCTTTGAATACGCTCTATTAGGGCACCAGTTCCAAATAAATACCACAATTCACCTATTAAGACCGGGCCACTCCCAAATCCAGCGTAGCTTGTTTCTTAAAAAATGTATGCTTCACCAAAAAATAGCTATTCGCTAACAAGCCGGTACCATTTACAATTATTTTTCCAGTTATTTACTGTCCAACTTGCCAATAACCACCAAAATTTCACTTATTTTTACTCCAATCCAGCTCTAAGGACCATATGTTGGGTTGTAAATCCCGTATTTAACTTCACTATATTAAAACACCAGCCTTACTTGAACATTTTAATCGAAAAACTCTTGCATCAACAAGAAAACAATAATAATTTTACAATACAAAACGGGCATCAAATCTCGAACATATCGAGAGCATACATAACCAAGACAGCGCGCCAACTCGTTTTTTACAGAAGTCGACGTTGCCAGACTGCAAAATGGCCAACTAATAGGAGTAATGAGTCTCTGCGTTGTAAGTAAAAAATAAACTATATAAAATTGTCCCAAACAGTGTCAGATAATCGTTATCTCCCAGATAACTTAAAAAATCATCTTTTCACTTTTGGAGAAAACTAACCGGCAGATAAATTGGTCTAATCTGAAAGATAACTTATCTTACCTCTGAACTTCCTGATAAAGTAGTTAACTGATAGATAAGTAGGTATATGACATAATAAATAATATGCGATACGAGTCAACACATTATTGTATTTGACATTATGGACGTTGTTGAAGATGTTGTGTTTTTGAAAATAGTGGATTACTTATTTGTTTCGTATAGGTAATTTTTTTTTTTTCGAAAAAATACTAAGCTGTATAATAAAAAAACAGCCTTTACATTTATAAAATAGTTTATGGCAAATAGTGTAAACTAATGTCCTTCGCACCAATATTACATACATACAGAATAAAAAACTACACCTTCGAAATATTCAATTTAATCAAATGAACAATCTATGGTAATTATAATACAATAGACTTAAGAATCAATTTTTTATTTGGCAGTACTGCTTTGTGTTTCAAGCATCCTCTTGCTTATTGAAAGTTGGTCGATGTTTTCTGTTTTGTCACTTGCTTTATGGAGTTTTAAATAACAAATATTATCAGAAAAATACAAAACCTTTCAACTAAGTGACAAAACGAAATAATGACAACAAGTGACAGTGAGAATGACATATTGCATGTATAAATACATTGATATGAAGGTAGGTACATGACCATAGAACGTTAAAAAGTACCAGATAACTACCCTACAGAATATTTCTCTTGAAAAGACGGAAACCTCATTATCTGTCAGATAGTAACTCTCGGATAATATACCCTTTGGTTAGTTAACTGGAACTTTATCTGAAGGTGAAAAGACCGACCCTTAAAACATGTCTAGATGTTCGTCATTTGAAAATAATTTATTATTCTCTTGTTCAGTCGAGGTTAAATTATGTTATACTTGGATGGAGTGGACTTCTTCAAATCGATCTGAAAAAATTGATGTTTTACAAAAAAAAATTAAAAATCATTTTAAATAAAAATTGGACTTACCCTTCAGATTCTTTGTTTATTGAAAGTAAAGTGACAGATATTAGACAGTTATATACATATGCTGTCTTATTATTTATATACAAAAACCGCACTTTCCTAAAAAGTATAGATCACAATTATTCTACCAGAAATAAATTAAATAATTATGTAATTACAGAGACTAGTAAACAATCTGTGGGTCGCAGATATGTTACATATCTTGTATGGAAGAATATACAACTTTTTACCAAATATGTATAAAATTTACTTAACCATAAATTCAACCAAGCTGATAAAAAACATTTTTAAGAAGTTTCTATTAAATTGTGAGAGAAAAGACATACATTACCTGATAGAAAATAAAATCACTCCAATTTAAATTATTACTAGTAATAAAATTGTTTTTTGAATATGATTTATATTTTGTGTTAGGTTTTTATGTACATTTGCGTTATTTAAGTGTATTTAAATTATTCCTTTTATTAAAATTGTTTTTGTATATGATTATATTTTATATTAGGTTTAGTATATAGTATTACTGTTTGCATTGATTACTAAAATAGGTATAGATACTAAACTCAGTCATTAGCTCGTGCACGACCTTATATGGTTTTAACGAGCCTACGACAAAGTTCAGTTTATTCTTTATTAAAAAAAAAATATATACCAAACATTCTGTAAACTTTTTTGAATAAACTATTATTATATTATTATTAACCTGATTTGGAGACTTACTTAGGTATTCAATAATAAAATAGGACTAAGATGGTACTAGTATTACATGGGTTTATTGATTATAGTATCACAAAAAGTAAAAAGTAAAAATATACGAGACACGAGTAACAACGGGAACATCGAACATTATAAAATGTATGTAAACAAATAACTGTAAAAAACTTTAATTTTCAAATTCGTTGACGTTTATTTTCGTTGCCGTTCAGACATTTTGGGCCAATGAGAATTAGTCTACTCCTGTGTAAAGTCATCTGAACGCGCTCCAGGTGACAATGAGAGCAGTGCCACGTTAATATTTCTTTTATTTATTATGCGATTTGGATCAAATTTGTGACAAACCTACTAGACATGCTATTAAGCTTAAGTAATATTTTAATAGCCTCGATTAAGCAGTTTTACGAATTGAATAAATCCGTCAGATAACAAATAAATTTCTGAAATCTGTTTTTTTAACTAATATATCACTTTTTTTATGGCACCATGGACTCAAAACATTATTTTCCAGACCCCAAAAAATGTTTAAAAAAAAAAACTTTTTGGGGAAATATTAAAATTTGGTAGCACTTCCATATGTATTTTGAAACGTAGATTCCAAAAAACATTACATTTACAGGGGGATCTAATTAAACATCAAACTTATTGGGAAATTGATAAAACTGAATTTAAAAACAGGAAGTGCAAGATATCTGGAAACTAATAGGTACCTATTTAATTATTTCAGGCTCCTTTCAAATCCCTGTGTATCTCTAAGTTCCGAACTGGAAACCCCAACATTTTATCAGACACTTGCCGGTGTTACTCATCTGGAAGAACAGGATATATGCGAATTGGAAAAATGTTTCTGGGCGTTACAAGCGTCCTCTTCTTCATCAAACCTTGATTTTAATTGCTTAAAATCTCGTGTAATGTCCTCCAGTACCTTTAAAGGCATGTAGAGGGTAGGTAATTTTATTTTTATGTATTGGTCTCCGTTTTTATTTGACATTACAAGTTCTTTCTACTTATTTTTCTATTTAACTTTAAAAGATCCAAATGAGTTTGTAGAAAGTAATAATAATTGTCATATAATTAATAGGACCACTTATATCTAAATTAAACTTTTTAAGTAAAAATTAATGCTTGTTTTAGGTTGTTTCTGGCTTTAGATGTTAACAGAGATGATCATGTTGATTTTAAAGAACTGTGTTGTGGTATTTCAGCTGCTTGTAGAGGACCGATGGTAGAAAGAATGAAATGTAAGTGTTTATGAAACATAATTTATGGATCACTATCATTATTTCCAAAATTATACTTTATTACAGTTTTTGTTTAAGAAAGAATAATCTAATTTATGGTGATAGTTTCTTTTTTGAACAAAAAGCAATTACTTTTTTTTAT